GGGGCGCGGGCATGGGCATTAAGCAGCATTTTGGCACACAACAAAGCTCCCTGGATTGATGGTGATGCTCTTAGTGCAGTTATCAGTTTTATAAATCCCAACAAGTCGATCCGCCAACTCAAACATGTTGTTCCTTAGGCTGCATACAAAACAAACATTGAATAAAAATGGCTCAAAGGATTGGTGTCTCTAGTAACTATCTGCTGTGAACATCCTACTACCTTATAATGATGAACTGTGCATCCTTTGTTCGGTCCTTCACATAATGTCCCACAATAGAAACATTCTTGAAATCTGGCACTCAATGTAAACCATGAAAGTTAATGGAGAAAACAGGGAAAGGTAAACTACTAAACAATTCTAAATATTTATGAACTAAGGTAGTAAGTTTGAACGAAGATTACCCAGGGCAGCGTCAATTTCATCCATTACATACAGTGGAGTAGGCTTGTAATGATGAAGTGCGAAAACAAGAGCTAGCGAGCTCAGAGTCTGAAAATAGTGAAATGTATCATTGTTACCATAACCAAAAGTATACAGACACCTCTGGGATCCTTAGGGGTAGTACTTGGAATTCATTACCCGAGAGTATAACACAGATATAGAATAAAGGTTTAGGCATAACCTTTTCACCACCAGATAAGTTTGCAATATTCTTCCAGCTCTTCTTTGGTGGTCTCACACTGAAAACAACACCTTCAGAAAATGGATCCAAAGAATCCACTAGCTCAAGTTCTGCATCACCTCCAAGAGTAATCATCTGTGGCAAGAAATGTCAAAATAATCAATGGACAACATTTACTGCCACTGATGAATGATAAGGATGCACATTTTTTTGCATTAAATCACGGTTTTCGTTCAGATGAATACCTAAAGTCGGGTTTTAAAGCCAGAAAACTACACATGCAAACAAACGTACAGTGTACATGCTCACACAGGAGAGGAGAGGGGGAGGGGGAGGGAGAGACAAAACAATCATCGCACAAACCTGATACATTTCCTTCAGCTTCAATGATATTGTATTGAACCCTGCCATGAATTCATCCAACCTGAAAAGTTACCGATTCAGTTATGTAAGAATCACCTATTTGCAAGGGAGGACAAGGGCATGATAGATACTGGAATCTAACAAGAAGGAAAATACTAGCCTTTTCTTTCTCCATTCATCATACTGCCTTTTTATATCATCACGTTGTTGAGTTACCAAGTTCAGCTCCTCAACCCGCTCATTATATAATGAAACCTTTCTCCGATATCTACATTAACAGAGCATTCAGCAAATTCATGTTGAAGATTAATAATCAAACTTTTACGAGTAAGAGAAAAACCCATACTCTGAGATTGAATCTAAGTTTGGGTTCATATCTTTCAATTGTGCTTCCAACAACACTACCCTTTCAAGGGCCCTTTTGAGGTCACAAGCCTCAGCAAGAGTCTTATCAGCAAGGGTTGCTTGAAGTTTTTCAGGGTCCTCTAGTTCTTTCTGAGTTCTGCAACCAACAATAACAATGTTAGACATGCTTCAAGAAAATACAGAGCCAATAGAATAAATGGCTTAACCATAAATCAACATACTGCTCCATATGGCGTAGAAGAGCATTTTGCAAGTCATCAAGCTTCTTTTTGTAACCCTTCCCCTTCAATTCCAACTCCTTGTAGCTCTTCTTCATATCTTGTAACCTGTAATCAGCATCGACCTGTGGTATAACAGGATAATTACTTAACTAGTGATGATCATTTGACAAAAAGATAAAGGAAAGTGCAAAAAAGTGGCTTTAATTGACAGAGTACCTCTGATGCCCGCAACTCATCCACAATTTTTTTCACTTTTTCATACTCAGATTTGGCTTTATCTAGCACTTCTTTATGTTGATCAATCAGCTAAAAGAGCAAAAAAAGAAAGGCATATAAGGATAAGGATACTCTTATGAGCGCATCATCATGGCTGAAAGAAAATAAATAAAGCAGACCTCCTGTGTCTTTTTGTAATTCTCTTGAACTGCAAATGCCTTTTCTTCAATTTCTTTAAAAATCCCTCTCAGTTTTTCCCTCTCCTCTGTAAGCTGCTCCTTTTCCTTCCTTGAATCCTCAATCCCTTTGGTCAACTTCTTTATCATTTTATGACCTGTCTCTATTTGAACCTTGTGACGGTTGATCTCTGTGCTATTTTTATCCATATCCTGATTAGTGGGCAACTTGAATTAATTCAAATGCCACATGATCGCAATTCGAATATTTCAGAGTGATTTTGTGACTTACAGACTGAATCCTGTTGACCTTTGCCTTCTGTGATTTCAACCTTTCACCACCGGCGTTTTCTATTTTACTCTGAAGCTCCAAAGCCTAAAGGTAGAGAGAATTATGGACAATCAATCAAATTGAATACAAAGGGGAAGGCACATGACTCTTTGGATTTAAGTACAGTAAGATATGGCAGATAAGAAAATCCACGAAAGTTCAACTGAAGTCAGAAAGTTAACCACAGATCAGGAAGGCAACCAGACAACATTTTGTTGCCTGGGCATCCTGAACGATTGGCTTGGAACTTTAACGGACAAAGAAACATAATATTTTCAAACCTTTTCCTTCAGCTTTTTAGACCCCTGAATAAGTCTGTCAATCTCCTTTTCCTCTGTCATTATTATCATTTTGAGTTCCTCCAGCCTATCAAGCTCATCTTTCTTTGGCTCTGACGCAGCTTTCAGGGAACCAAGTTGTTTCTCCAGATAACTATGTTCTGTGTTCAGACTATCAATCTGTTTGGGAGGAAGGTTTTAGAGCATTTATTTCATCCAGGGAAAAAAATATAAAAAAAAACATTGGAAAAGCCATAGCAAACCGTTACCTCTTTCTGGCTTTTGGCCAGTTCCATCTCCAGGTGTGCAATTGCTTTTTCCGAGGCTTGGTAGTGTTTCACAGAATCAGCAATCCGTTGGCGTATACCATTTAATCTATCAACCATGGTAGAGAGCTCCTTCTCTGCACTTGTGACCGCTTCTCCAGAAACACTGGTAGCCCGAATCGATGTCCCCATCTTACCACCACGTGGCTTAGTTCCCCCACCGCTCATAGTACCAGATTTTTCAAAAAGTGCACCATCAAGAGTAACCACTCGTCGAAATTCCAAGTTTCCACCATATGCAATTCTTGTTGCCTATAGGTTGAAAAAAATGCAAGTTACTAGATCGTACCTGGATATGCTTCAGCAGTAAATCTGGAAAAAAAAAATAATAGATATCCTTGATTCTAGCTATGAAAGGTGTTGTTAAAATGAACCTGAGCACACAAGTCATGGTAACAGACTCCTGTTTACATATCCCATAACTATGAGGAGTAAGACAAAGAAAAACACGGCTAGAAGTTCATGCTATGGAAAGCTATTCCTTATTGATCAAAGCATCTAGCCATCTCCAAAACTGGCATTACTTCACATTATTTTGGGATTGACAAAGCCGTAATTCCCATGTTTCCTCGATAATGGACACTAATACCAAAGAGACTGATTTTTCAAATTGTAGGAGTAAGGGGACAGGTAGGTTTAAATGATATGGGCTGAAGAAATAAGGGTTTTAATATCCAAAACTGGTTCATACAAGATTTGACCCGAAAGAAAAACATAAAGGAGAACAAAAATCCATGTGGCTTACTACAATGGATTTGGAACAGAGCCTTGGTTGAATTAAGTAGATGAAGCATATAAAGTCAATAGAGTATTCAGCTGACAGACCAAGTTCTCTAGGTGCATCTACTGGAAGCAACAGGGGAAAATAATTCAGATTAACCAAGAAACAAAGAAAAGCATCAATATGCTTTTAGAAAGAATTGAATTGAGGAACGTATAACATGATCATCTATCGTCCTTAATTCATCCATAATGCAGGTGAGAAAAAAAAGAGAGGATATACAATGAAACTTGAATTTACCTGATCAAGATCCTTTGCTACAACAGTATTACCCAGAGCAGCATAGAAGGCAAGTTTCATTCTTTCATCTTGAACTCTAACTAGATCAAAAAGACGTGGAACACCCTCTGGAGTGCTCACATTATGCTTCATCTTTGATGAATGGTCAACTTGCTTCTCCTGCATTCAGGAAACGGGAGGAAATTATGTTCCTAAAGCAAAGGGAACTTTCCTAAACCAATTAACCAAGTGCTACCATATTGCCCAGAAAGGTTGGCCTCTATAACAAACATTCCATTCAATTCTCCATGCCAAATGAAATTTTTAAAGATTCAAGCTTCAGCAAATTCAAAATTACCTTAAGAATATAGGAAAGTTTAGCTGCTAACAAGTGAAATGTCAACCATCTCTTTTGTCATAGTTTTAAGATTTTATAGTCATGTCCAGGGCATTTAACTGAACCAGCCTACATGACTCCCATGCCCACAAGTCCTTTCAGATCTTCCAAACAATTATAAAGAAAAGGGAAAAGGTAGTTTCAAGTATTTTTAGTTGATACCAGTATCATGAAAGTGGCAACCCCAAGCTTCTCTCTTCGGAGCAGCTCCACACATGCTTGTGCTGCAGCAGTTGTCTCCACCACAATATAATCAAGTCCAGGACAAGCTGTTGATATGGCAACATCATATTTTGCTGCAACAAAAACATCAATTTAACAGGAAAATGAGGTCCTTGATCTA